GCCTTGTGACTGCAACCAGCAGCTTTAAGAATGCAGTCCTTTCTGCTTCAAGGCAGAGAAGAAATTGTTTTTGCCTCTTTTTTATTTGCAGTTATTATCCCCGAGGCTTTCCCGACCCCAATCCCGGACACCATCCTCAGAGTTCAGGTCCTCCATTGGCAGTGCCCAAAGGGGGGACCCTGGGCGGCCTGTCCGGGGCCCAAGAGGGCGGCTCCCTCTGCACGGAATCCTTCCCTAGTGACTCCCAAATCCGGCGTTTTCTCTGCCCGCCTTTCCCTCGGGGGAGACTCGGAGAGGCTGCAAAAATCTGGGCGCCCGCTCGCTCGCTTGTCAAGAAGCAAACTGTCTTCACATTCTCCAAGAGCAACATCCCTGCCTAGGAAGAGGAAAGAAGAGGCAAAATAAATAAAACCAGTTAATGTTGTAGTTAACTTGCAAATCAAGTAAATCTGTTGGTGCCGTATTTGAGAAATAAACCATCAGAGCGTCACAGCAAACACACACTTCTGAACGTCTTCATTTTGATTTAATGGTATATCAGCGTCAACTATCGCTTCCTCTGCTGGTACACACGGCCTGATGCCGCGGGAGGAGGGTGCCCATGTTTATCACCGAGTGAGATGACTAATTACACCTTGTCAATCACCGGCTATGAAGACATAAAACCAGCGCGCACAATGAAGTAGTTGCCTGCAGCGTCAATTAGTTGGCGATTCGGAGGTTATTGCGTGGCCCTGCTTTGGCCGCCTCTAATAACGGGACAGAGCGCCGGGAACGGCGCACTGATCAATCACCCTCCTTCCGCGGCTCCCCGGCTCCCCGGCTCCCGCCCCCCTCTTCCCCCACCCCACCCGGCCTCACTTTCTCTGGGCCGCATGTGCTTCCTCCCTCCGCGGCCCAGGCTCCGTGGCGCCGGCAGCCCCGGGAGCCCCGGGAAGTTCGCGCGCGGCAGCTCCGCAGCCGGCAGCCGGGAGCCCCGCAGCCTTCGGGGAGCGCCGGGGCTGGTGGCCCCTTTGTTGGAAGAGGCGTGGAGGGAGCGCTTTTGTTCTGAGTTAGTCACGGTGGCCGGCTGGAGGCTGCTACCTCATTATGCGCCGGGTCTGCTTGTCTGCGAGGAAGCAGATGGTGGGGAGGTAGGCAGCGGCGAGAGTAGCCAGACCTGAATTCCGTTCACCTGTCACCTCCCACAAAAGGCAGGTTCTAGGGACTTAGGGATTCTTTCTCCCTATCTGGGGGAGGGGCGTCGAGGGGCCGCCGTTTCCGACGCCTCGGAATATTACTTTTACCTGCGGGTGCCTGCTCCCCCAACCTCCTGCCTTCCCCTCCGCTGCGGCTTCTCGCACCGTGTAAATGTCACTCACGTGTCAGGATGTGTGTTTACAGCCTGTTCCTTTCCTTGTTTAGTCTTCGTGGACAGGGCTCAGCGGTTGTGCGACGTTCCCCCCCCCGCCCCCGCCTCTGGGGAAGATTAGCAAAGTTACCCGCCTCCGAGCCCAGGGCCAGGGCACCCAGATCCCGCCCCGCGGCGGGAGAAGCGTTTGAGCCTCTAGCAGACCCGGGCGCGTCCCAGCCTGACACGAAGGGCTGCAAAGGCGGGCGCACCCGGCGGGAATCGTGACTGCCAGGGAATTTGGGGTCGGTCAGCGATGGGCGTGGACTGCAGGTCAGAGTGGCGACGAAATCGTGTGCTTACATATGTGGGGGGAGTGGAGAGCCGCAGGGTGTGTTTCCGTGTTTCTTGAGAAGCCCCGCGGCAAGAGTTATCGAGTGCACCTCCTCCCCCACCCGCCCCCCACCTCCTAAATCAGCCACTCGAGTTCTCGTAAACGTATTGTATCCATCTAGCCTAGGCGCGGAGCTGCACCAAGGACAAACTCTCCAGCGTTGTTACAATTTTTTTCTACCCTTTGGGCGACCTCCAGATGAACCCCGGTGACTCCCAGATTAGATTTTCATTCCTTACTTTCTTTGAAAGAAAGTGCCCCAGATGCGTCAGTAAAACATGCCTGTGTATACGTGTAGGCGTCCGCGTGCCTGGGCGCGGGCCGTGTGCAGGCGCCAAAGTACACGTCTGTGTGAACACACGCGGAGGCGCGCGTCTTTGGGTTTATGGTCCTTCCCTCACGTTGGGGCATCTGTGCATGTGCAGCGTGTACACACGTACTTGTAACTTCAAGAGTTTTTTCAAATACGCAAAACATGGCCGGGGAGAAGCGCACGCAGGGATTTAGGTAGTATTGTCTCAACATGCAATTGTATGTATAACATGCAATTTACGACTTTACGACTGCATGCTCCTGCCTGGCGCTGGACACCTATAGCCGATGTGCCTGTGTAGATCCTAGTCCTACATCCTTGCTGGCCGTGTTTTTGCCAACAGAGAAGAACATGTGCGTTTGCACACATGAACACGCATGCATGTGCTCGGGCATTACACACACACATATGTTTATGTTTGAAAGTTTTGCACAGTAGGTAGAAGGTAGCCGCCCCTTGCCTCCTTTTGGCAAGCAAGTCCCTTCAGACTGACCCACCTCCAAAGCAGACCCAGGAAATGGGACTCCTGTTACTGACTTGGCTCATTCAGTTTTTCTCCACAGTCACTTTTTTATTTCCTTAATCCTGCTTCACCACATACTAGGTATCATGCTTGTGTCCCCAAGAGACTCTAGGTTAAGCCTGAAGTCTGGGGGTTTGGGGTGGCAGCTGAGATTTCCCCACAGGCGGGGTTGTTGATCCTTGGCGAAGTGGTACAGCCAGGCAGCAGGGTGGACGCCTGTCAACAGCTGGGTCTGTGGCACGATGCAAACAGCAGAGGATGGGCCTGCGGTCTTTAAGGACCTCAGTGATACCCAGTGTATGCCGGAGTGAAAAGTTTTTAATAGGAGGAGATGGAGAGGGAAAAGAGGGAGTGATGAGGGAATTTGGTTAGTGCCTACGACGTTCCAGATACTTTAAAATCCATGATCTCTTTTGTTCATTACCTGTGTGGAGGGGGCCTTCTCGTCCCTCAATGAAAAGATCAAAAACAGTCTAAAGGGAGTTCAGTCACTTGCCTAAGGTTACATTGCATGTAAGTGACAGAACTGGGATTCGAACTTATGCGTTAACTAGCGCCTAAAGCCATGCTCGCATCCGCTTTTTCAGGCTCTAGAGGGACAGGGAAGGGGCAAGAAGGAGCTGCACGCTCCCATTAAGTGGGCCCTAGCTTGCTTGGAGCAAGGCTACGCTGGCTGGCCCTCCTCCCCCGGAGTCCTACAGCTCCCGCCGGCTCTAGCCTCTCTGGCTCAGCTGGGTCCTCAGGAGGCCTAGGCGGCCGCCCGCAGCCCGCAGCGCGGAGCCTGGGCCGAAGGCCGAGCTCCGCGGGAAGCAGCTGAAGGCTCCCGCAGCTCTGCCCCAGGCCTGCCTTCCCAGGCCTTCCCAGCCGGTGCCCGAGGCGGCGGCTCTGGGCCGATGAGAGACCGGAGTTGAGAGCTCGTCAAGCATCCTCGGGCTGCGCCTTCTTAGGATGGAGACGGCGGGGAGAGAGGGTTTAATTTTCCATCCCGAAGAAATCTCAGGAAACTGTTCGCAGCTTAAAAAACTCCAAACCCCGCGCTCTCCCTCCTCCCTCCCTTCCTCCCGCCCCCTCCCTCCAGCCTTGCCCACCAGCTCCCACCATCTCGTCGCTCCTCTCCTCCTCCTGCTTCTCCCCTCCCTCTTGGGTCTCCCGCCTTCCCGGAGCACGCGCTGCCAGGGCTCTGGGTGCTGAGCGGCCAATGGCGCGGCGGCAGGACGTGATGTAAGGCGCGGCTGTAGAAAAGGCGCGGACGCTTGGCTGGCGCGGACTGCAGAGCCGGGGCTGGGCTCGGCGCGCTCTTGGAGAGCCTTGCGCGCGGCTGGGCCCGAGGCCGGCGGCTCCTCCTCCCACTCTGCTCCTCCTCCTTTTTCTCCTCCTCCTCCTCCACCACCACCTCCTCCTCCTCCTCCTCCTCCTCC